GCTTTGTCACTACTGGATCAGTGGTGTTCCTGCCAGTGTAGCTGCCTTGAGTCCTCGGGTGGACAGGGAGGCGGCTGCTACCCACTCAGCCGATGTGCGGCTCGTCAGGGGAGCGCACGAGGAGAAGCCCGGGACGGCGGCGGCCCTGACGGCGGGACGAGGGCACAGTGTCCCCCGGGGCAGGCCCGTCCGGCAGGCGGAGGGAGACACCGAGGCAGAGGACACTGCCTCCCCCCGCAGGCCGGGGGCTCACGCCCGACTCCCCCGGCCCCGCAGGTTGGCAAGATGTCGGTGAAGGAGGGTGCGCAGCGCAAGTGGGCCACGCTGAAGGAGAAGCTGGGGCCGCAGGACTCGGACCCCACGGAGGCCAACCTGGAGAGCGCGGAGCCCGAGCTGTGCATCCGGCTGCTGCAGATGCCCTCCGTGGTCAACTACTCGGGCCTGCGCAAGCGTCTGGAGAGCAGCGACGGCGGCTGGATGGTGCAGTTCCTGGAGCAGAGTGGCCTGGACCTGCTGCTCGAGGCCCTGGCGCGCCTGTCCGGCCGCGGGGTGGCCCGCATTGCCGACGCCCTGCTGCAGCTCACCTGCATCAGCTGCGTGCGCGCCGTCATGAACTCGCAGCAGGGCATTGAGTACATCCTGAGCAACCAGGCCTACGTGCACCAGCTCTCCCTGGGTGAGCCGCGGCCCGCTGCTGGGCGGTGGGCGGGCAGCCTGGCACACACACCCCTTCGCGACTCAGTATGGAGGCTCTGGGCCTCGGAGGGCAGCGGGAGGGCTGGGGTCGCAGGAGAGAACTCAGCGGGGCAGCAGGGAGGGCTTCCTGGAGGAAGAACCAGGTTCCCGTTCTCCCCAGGTCAGCTCAGAGCCATGGTCCCCCAGCCGCTGCACCTAGTTGTCCCCTCCGTTCTGTGACTTTGCCTGGCCTTTCCGTCCAGCCCTGTGCTTGTTCATGCCCCGCCCCCTTCCCCGTCTCTGGCCCACAGCGCCCCTCCCTCCCACCTGCCACCCTGGTCCGTGCCCTGGCAGCCAGACTCACCCGGGCCAAAAACGCAAGTCCACCCTAGTAGCCCCACTTACCTTCCGCCTGGCTCCAAGCCCCTGACCTCCGCAGGGCCACAGCCCTTCGGTTCTGGCCAGCACTTGAAGCTGGTGGCACCTTCTTCCACCTTTCCCCACACCCCTACCCTGCCCACTCGGTGCCCTGCTCCCACCTCCTGCTCAGGCTGCGCCGTGCCTTTGTGCACCTGCTGACTCCTTCAGTGCTCCCTCACGGTCCCCTCCTCCAGGAAGTCTCCCCAGGCTGCACCCGGCGTCAGCCTCCTACCTTTGGGAGTGACCTCAGGTGGCCCTTAGTGAACAGGGGTCACTTGTGTCCCTCGCCTGTCAGGCTGTGCTGCTCTACGGCAGATGCTCGGAGCTGCGGGAGGGGGCGGTGACGGTGGGTCGGCCGGTGGGGGTGGGCGGGCGCCTGTGTGGCTGAGCAAGCCAGCGGCTACTCAGGCCTGCCCTGCGCAGCCCGGGCTTGTGCGGCTGCGTAGAGTCCCTTGCAGCCTCTCAGCAAGGCGAGCTAAGGGGCGCCCCCAGCGCTTCCCCAGCCCGGGAGACGCGGTGGGAGGCGGGGCTCGGGCGAGGGGGAGGCACCGCAGGCTGTTTGGTGAAAACCTGGGCTCAGCCCAGGGAGCTGTGCCAGTGTGGGCCAGCAGGGGCCGCTGTCGGAACTAAGGCCCGGCCCAAGCGGACCGGTCCTGCAGGGGCCTGGGCGCCGGCGCAGAGCGCCCCCTGGTGTCCACCTGCGGGCCTCCTTGTCCCGCTGGAGTGGGGGTTCCGTCGGGCGGTCAGACGGGTGGGAAGGGCCGCCGGGAGGAGGAGGAGCCCAGGCCTGGGATCGATGCGGGGGCGCCCACTGAGCCTCCCGGGCCCTCGGCAGCTCTGGACACGTCCAACGTGATGGTCAAGAAGCAGGTGTTCGAGCTGCTGGCCGCCTTGTGCATCTACTCCCCCGAGGGCCACATGCTGACCCTGGATGCTCTGGACCACTACAAGGTGAGCCGCGGGGCGCCTGGGTCCACGCTGGGCCAGGGCACGTGCTGACCCGACCCTCGCCCGCCCTGCAGACGGTGTGCAACCAACAATACCGCTTCAGTGTCATCATGGCTGAGCTCTCCGACAGCGACAACGTGCCCTATGTCGTCACCCTGCTCAGTGTGATCAACGCCATCATCCTGGGCCCCGAGGACCTCCGCACCCGCAGCCAGCTGCGCGGGGAGTTCATCGGTAAGCGCCCGCGGCCCGCCCCGTGCCCCCTGCAGGAGCTGCCCCTCCCCGCTCCCCTGGGGCCCCGGACGTGGGTCCTGCATGGCTCTCAATGTGAGGCTGACCCCCCAGTTCCAGTCCTGCCGGGGTGGCAGTGACCGTTCAGCGGGGACGACCGTGTTGCCCTCCAGAGCGTTCTGGGTACCTGTAGGAATGGCAGGGTCCCCCTCCCGCCCATGGGCTGGGTGTTCTGGGTGGTGGGAATGAGCCCAAGGAGGGCGCAGAGGGGAAGGCCTCAGAAGACGCAAGCAACCCGGGGTGGGGGGCTGACCAGAGCAGTCTCTGAGGCCCGCTGACCCCACTGTCCCTTCCCAGGGTTGCAGCTGCTGGACATCCTGACACGGCTACGGTGAGTCCCCACCACTGTTCTCCAAAGCCAGGCACACCCTTTCCTTGGGTCCCACACGGCACCTCCAGTGGGCAGAGGGGGCTTCCAGGAGTAGCCCCGGTGGGCCTGCCCCGCTGAACCCAATCCCAGTGACAGTGCAGTCTGCCGTCGCTCACACTGCCTGACGGGCCACCCTGCGGAACCTCTCGGCCCAGGGGCTTGGGGGTTGCCAGACACAATGCAGGACACCCCGTCAAGTAGGAGTGTAGACCGACAGCAAGGCGTTCTAGCGTAAGCATGTCCCAGATGTCGCATAGGACATACTCATGCTAAATACCACTCGCTGTTTTCCTGAAATTCAAACTTATTTGGGTTCTGGGAACCCACGCAGCTGAGAACGCCCCTCCCAGGCCCCATCAGGACCACTCTCCTGGGTGGGGCCACCTGTCCCAGCTACAGGGCCACGTGCCCAGCACAGCCCCGCTCAGAGAGGTCTGTGCGTCTGTCCAGGGTCGGGGGGGAGGCGGGGGGGCGGGCAGCAGCCTCAGCCCGCCCGGCCCCTCTCGCCCCAGGGACCTGGAGGATGCCGACCTGCTGATCCAGCTGGAGGCCTTCGAGGAGGCCAAGGCTGAGGACGAGGAGGAGCTCCTGCGCGTCTGTGGGGGCATCAACATGAACAGCCATCAAGAGGTCTTTGCTTCTGTGTTCCACAAGGTGAGCTGGGGCAGGGCAAGCTGGCCAGGGCCCGTCTCCAGAGGCGGGGGTCCGGGGCTCAGACACGGCTGCCTTCCCTGACCCGGAGACCCCACCCCGACCAGAGCAGTGGGGCCAGATCTGGAGCCACATCAGGGAGCAGCGAGGGATCAGGGGGCTGGAGACAGGAGGAGCCCGGAGCTGGAACGGGCAGCCTGGGGGCAGTCTTCGCTGTCACAGGCACCGAGCCAAGGCCACGGGACCCGGGAGGACAGCGTCCCAAAGACCAGGGCTGCCCAGAGGTAGCTGAGCTGTCCTGGGCCCCCGCAGGTGGGCTGCCTCGAATGGCCCAAGGGGCTTCCCGACCAGCAGGAGGCCAGGAGGCTGCGTTCTGGTCCAGCTCAGGCCCTCCCTGGCCGGGACCTCCTGTCCTTCGCTGAACCCACGGCTCTCAGCCAGGGGACGAGTGTCGCCAGGGGGCCTCCAGAAACATCTGGACACATTTGGGGTGGTCTCAGTCGGGCAAGGGGTACTACCGGCTTCAGGCGGGTGGAGACCAGGGATGCCGTGAGACCTCCCACCATGCCCAGGGCAGTCCCCAGCATGGAGAGGGGTCCAACCCCAAATATCACTGGTGCAGCAGTCAGGGAACCCCAGCTCCGGCTCATCCAGAGCGGTGACGGGGTGGACGTTCCTGGCAGTCTGAAGCCTGCCGTTGTCGGCCTGCCCCGGGAAGGGCACGGCTGCCCACCCATCCTTTTCCTCCCCACCCAGGTGAGCTGCTCCCCAGCCTCTGCCCAGCTGCTATCCATGCTGCAGGGCCTCCTCTACCTGGAGCCCACCCTCCCCTCCAGCCAGCTGCTCTGGGAGGCTCTGGAGAACCTGGTGAACCGGGCCGTGCTCCTGGCCAGTGACGGTGAGCAGGTGGGGCAGATGGGGGCGTCCTGCCCACAGCGCCCTCCCTGACCCCAACCCAGCGGGCAGACAGTGGGTCTTAGACTGTTGTGGGAGGGTTCCGTCCTTGGCCCCTCACCCACCCTCTCCCTGAGGGCAGTGGCCATGTCTTGCCCGCCGCCCACCACCCACCTCCTCTGGCACCTGCCCTGACCCTGGACAACCCCTCCACAGTCCAGGAATGCACCCTAGAAGAGATGGTGGAGCGGCTCCTGTCCGTCAAGGGGCGGCCACGCCCAAGCTCCCTGAACAAGGCCCACAAGAGTGTCCAGGCCGACCTAGGCCAGAGTCAGAAGGGCAGCGTGCCCCAAAACAGTGGTGCCCTGAAGGCGGGTGTGGAGGGCCGCCAGCCCGAGGCCGACCTCACCAGCCTGCACACCGTCGACGTCCAGGGCTTGAGCAGCATGGTCGCCCCACAGCAGCGGGCGCCCACCCCAGTCCCACCTGCACCCCCACTCCCCGGCTCCCCTGC